CGTGTGGCTAGGGCTTGACACACTGAATGAAACAGGCTGCCTAACATAGGGGGACCTGGTACCCTTATAATGTGATTTGTGCACATACTGAGTGTTTGACTGACTATACCGGCTTTTGCCTGGGGGGGAAGTCAGTGTTACAACAGGGAGGGGGGCACCTAGTGAAGGGGGACCGTGAACCCGTGTATTGTGACTTTGAAACATGCTCTTTTTGTGCTTTATATGAGTCGCCGTGAAAACGACGTTTGTTTGCAAAGGCGCGCTCACTGCTGCGGGCCTGTTTACAATAATAAAATCCCCAGCCGCCTGAACTAAACAGGGAGCTGTGGGAAGTTTTGCTGGTCTTTTTGAGGGTGGTCCAGCTAGCGCGAGACACGAGCCCTCTCTCTTTCCCCTTAGTGCTAGGACGACTTCGGAGGTACCTGATCTAGCACGACGCTGGATCGTGGGCCTTGTCGCCGGGGGAGCGGGTAACGCTTCGCAGGCCTTGGCTGGCGGTGGGCATCAGCCGCAGGGTGGGGCTGAGAGGCCTGTTTCGCTGGCTTGGCTGGATGAGGCGAAGATGGTGGCTTGGGCTTGCTGGACGTGGAGCTTGAGCGTTTTGGCAAGAAGTGTCGCATAGCCTGGGATGCTTTCTGTGCCTCTGTGTATCTCTACGAGAACCCCTTCACCTCCGGGCCGAAGAGACCTGAGCTGGAAACTGGGGCGTCGAGAAACTTCGTTCTGTCAGCGTCTTTGATCTCGGTGAGGTTGAGCCAAAGATGACGCTCGAGCACGACCAAGCTCGCCATATTCCTTCCGATGCCCTGTGCTGTAGCCTTAGTAGCACTCAGTGCTACAGACTGCACTGCTTAGGTCTCAAAGTCTCAGGGTCCGGGCCAGCCTCGTCCATGGACTGGAGGAGCTTGGCCTGGTAGACCTGCAACACAGCCATAGTGAGCAGGGCCGATGCAACCTGACTGGAGGCGGAATACGCGCGTCCAGCGAGGGCTGAGGTGCTTTGGCAGGGTTTGTTGGGATGAGTGGCTCTAGCTTGCCAGCTAGCCGCTGTGCTCGGGCAAAGATGAGCGGCCACGGCCTCTTCGAGGGGCGGCAACGACTCGTATCCCTTTTCCGCTGCGCCGTCCACGGAGAAGAGCGTCGCGCAAATTGCAGATCCCACACGCGTTGAGTAAGGAGCACGCCAGGCCTTGGTGAGCTCCTTGTGGACCTCGGGGAAAAGTGGCTCTGGTCCATCCGTCCAGCCGACTTCGAGGAGGCTCTTCGGGCATGGCCCACTCTAGCTCGAGGTCCGCGACGGCCTTCGTCAGGATCCGAAGCATTTCAGCGTCGGAGTTAGTCCTGGTAACTGATCCGCTGGCCACAGACTGAGAAGCAGTGACGGGGTCGAGAGAGCCCGGCCATTCCTCCTCAGACGCAGCGATGGACAGGCTGTCATCGTGCTTGAGCGACCCGCCGAAGGAGACGAGGCCTGCCACATGGGAGGGGGGGCGCTGGTCTCCTGCGAACAGGACCGGAGTTGGCGTCTGAGTAGGAGAGAGTGAAGCACGCGGGGTGAGTACGGGGACTATTATAGGCTAAGGCCACGCCCCCTTGGCGGGCTCTGACATAAGGCTAGCACATTGGTCGCACGTCAGAGGCGCCCGCGCCATTGGATGTGCAGTTGCCGCAGCACAGCCTATGAGCAAGCCAGACGTTCAGTGTGCTAGCTGTGCAGCTGCAAATGCGTCTTACATATAGGCTTCAGTAAATCGAGGAAAAGGAGTTTCCCCACTGCGTATAGCTATGCAATACGAAATGACCGTTCGAAAGGGAACTAAAAAAACCACGAGTCTGTGAAAACGGTGACGTCAAGCACATGCGTAAGCTATTATGTGTTTAGTCTATTGGCTTTTTTTTTTTTTTGCAAATGAAAGCCTACTACGGAGCCCGGGAAGTCACCCGTGTGAAAAAGTCTCCTCATAAAATCTTAAACTGTTCCCTCTGTTTAACAAATCGTGCCAACAAATTAATAAACCGTACCCACGAGTTCCTAATCCGTGCCTTCAGTTTTAGCAATCTGTACCCACAAATTCATAAACTGTGCCCACGCTTTCGCAATCCGTTCCCACGGGTTTGTAAACTGTACTCATGGATTTGTGGTCCCTCCCCCAGTCTGTGTCTGCTGATTAAACTAGGCCACCTGTTTAGGTGCGGGATGCATTGCATTGTGTTTAAACTTTATTTTTCAAAATTGATAATTTCCTGAATTTTCTAAAAACCGATTTAGGCATTTAAGCTACATATAACATATTTATAAGACGCTTTTATCCAAAACGACTTACAAAAAAGGATCAAAGCAATTCGTCAAATGTCAGTCATAATACAGGTTAGACAATTATAATAAAGGGCTAAGATTATCACAAATAAACAAGATTTTGACGCACATCATTCATATTAAATCGTCTATTCCACCATATTCCACCACTATTGTGGAGCACGCTTACTGCATGACATGGAGGCACCGGCGCGATCACTTGCATTTTCCTATCAAAAACATTGGAAACAACTTAAAATACTCCATAATTTCTGGTCATACAGAAAAGAATAATACATAATTCGCAACTACTTTTATTTGTGTAAACTCACAATAACAAGAAAACGTTGTGCTTTTGTAAAATAAAACAGTCAGGGCGCGCTTTCATGGACTCCGTGAACTGGAGCGCTTCTCATAAATGAACTGATAAACCGCGTATACTAGCCTCACAGACATGAGAAATATACCCATATAATGCTTGAAATGTCCACTTTTAAACAAACAAATTTGAATCGAAAGCAAATACCGTCTGATTATGTAATACGTATGAAAGGTGCATTTTTCTCTAAAGGCGCATCCGCTTTACAGCAGAGATATTTTTTCAGACACATTTATTATCATTAGCCTACTTTTGCCGGTGCTCTGCGGCAAGATGTATGCGTGCGCTTGAGCGCGGAATTGGCTATATTCCTCCATGCACCCAGTATTTAAGCAGAAATTAATATAAACGTGTGATTAGTCGACTAATTGCTTAAATGAATGACTACTAGTCGACTAGAAAAATCTTTAGTCTATGGCAACTCTAATCAATACATTTAGTTGACATTTACTTAGTAATTAGTATCCAGCTCTTTACATTAAATTAGTTGAGTTAACATAATTAATGAAGTAATTAGTATCCAGCTCTTTACATTAAATTAGTTGAGTTAACATAATTAATGAACTAATAAAATGATAAAATAAAGATTAAATTAAGACGCTAACCATATATTTCTATATAGCAACGCTTGTTCCACCACACAAAGGACTGTTTTTAAGGTGAACATCCTTTATACATGTGAAGATTGTATTGTATCTTGAAGATGGTTGTATTGTATTGTATCTTCTGTTATAAAGATGAAGATTTTCACAAATCCGTGACTTGTCCGTGGGAATGGATTGTGAAAGCGTGGGCATGGTTTATGAATTTGTGGGTACAGATTGCAAAAACTGAAGATTTTTGATGGTTTACAAATCTGAGAGCGCGGATTACGTTTATCAATCAGTGGGCTCGATTTGGACATCATCACAAGTAGTTATAAGAATGAATCAACACAATATAACATTTTGTCATCATACAAAATTAATGGTTCCTTACAACAGACTCAAGGATGATATATGTTTTTGAAGCCTTTGTGTTCAAAGGTTTTGACATTTTCTTAAAGGAAATAAAAAGGGACTTTATATCAGAGGAGAACATTCTAAAATTGGGATTAGTGTGTTGTGTATTTACGAAATTCAAATGGACCTTTCTGTGTTTCCTTATACCCTCCTATGTTACGTGATTGTTCTACGTAAACACCGTGAAGTTTGAGTGTATCATTCGTTGAAATAAAACGGCAAGCACTGGTTTACGCTTACTCCTGCCTATCGTGTATTTATACAGAAAATATAAGAAATGTATAACACAGTGATATTTCTGGCTTTGTGAAAATGAAATTTACCTAGAAGACAAAGTAATAATACAGTATTATCAAGATTAACATCCTTAGAATGAAAATCGAACAAAAAAATTATAATTATGTAATTTGACTCTATAGGCATGTGCGTTCGGCTTGAGTGCACTGTAGTAAAAGAATGCATATGTGCGTAGTCTTTCTTTACAAAGTGACATCGCCAACCACTTGTCTGGCATGCATAATACCGTGTTATTAGTTGTTTTCGCGGATCCGTGTGAATGGGGATCATTTTGATAACGTTGTCATCTTTACAAAGAAGAAACGCAACAGTTTTTAGCACATCGTTGACGTGTAAACGTACCCTTAGTGGAGGATTTCTGTAACCTGGTGGAAAACAAACACTTTTAACATGAAAATGACATGAAATTACCAATATAACCAGTAGATGGCTGCAGAGGACCACTCATTAGCCATTTCCACTCCCTTTATAGTTCTTTGTATTTTGCTTTTGAATTTATTATCAAATTAATATTATGACAAATTTTAGCTATTTCATTGTACTTAAGTATGAAGTATAGCAAGAGTAGGAAAAGTCACAAAGTCTTGTAGGTCCCCTAAAAAGGCTTTTTTTATTTTTTTTATTGCCAATTAAAAAACTTAATTTTCTAATGAAAATAGCATCATGATCAATTTTTAAAGTATGCCTTCGTCAGTGTGAAGTGCTCCATTTTCGCTGGAGGAAAACAACAGTGTGATGTAGGGTTAACGCAGTGGTTGGGAAACCGTCTTTTTTCATATTAGTTTAAAGGGGGCTAAGGCAATCACATATTAGTGTACAGATTATAGAGTTAATAGCAAATTTTTATTGATAGAAATATAGGGAGGCTAAAGCCCTCCCAAAATGGGCCTGGTGACGCCCCTGAATGGCAAATGACTCACAGAGAGGGTTGTAGTTAAGTTATCAAACAAATAAGTACACCCCCTGCTATTAAAATGGTGCTGTGATGTCTTTTGATTTCACACTGCTTCCCTTTCTCTTTACTCAGACACAATGACCTTGCACTACGTCTAAGAATAATTTATAACAACAAACTGAGCCGGATCAATATGCACAACATTCCTCATGTGGCTACAGATATCAGTCGCCTCACTGCTGGTCATGTTGGAGGGCAGGTAATTTCTGATCCCGACTTTAATTTATATCTTTAAATATCCTGTACTTAGATTTGCTACCTACTACAATTTGTAAATTTAAAGTCACAAACCTATTTGTGTGTACTGCCTTGTTATAGACACAGATCAAGTCCTGGGTCTAATGCTCAAAGTTGTTCTACCACAAACTCCCCAAATTCACACACAGCTTCTAAATTGTACAGTTTCATAAGATATATAATTATTAGGTTTGTAGAATTTCACACTAACTGTATTCTAATTAATTTGTTATTGAACAACTCCTTTCACCTAGAATTTAGTTCCCCTCACACTAATGAACATTATATTGTCTTAAAACTCCACTCTCCTCTGAAACGCATCTAAATCAACAAAAGAATTGCTTCAAACATTATTAATGTTTTGGAATGGCCCAGCCAGAGCCTGGACTCAGGTCTCTGAAATGTGCCACTTTGGTTATCATTGGCATTCCAGATGTTGTAATTTTTATATTAAAGGAGCAAAAGTTCTGATATGATTTATCTTTCTTTGATTTTTTTTACATTAAAAAAAACTGTTGTTTTTAATAGGGGTGCGTAGATGTACACTGTATAATTTCTTTGTTATTATTTTCACTGAACCACCAATTGTTCAAAAAAGTGTTGTTTTACTACTCTTCCTTAAAATTAATGATTCCCTGAACAGTTTGGGCCCACAAGTGAGTGTCCAGATTGCCTTTTTTTTTTGTAACTTTGTTCCAGAGAAATAAGCCCTTGATATTTGTCAGGTTTTTGCAGCGTACGTGTTGTGCACGGCTCAGGATAAGGATGCTGTCAGACTGACATTGGAACAGATTGATGTAATTCGTCGTGTATGTACTGAAAACCCAGAGCTGGAACTGGTCACTACAGCTGAAGGTACTACCACCCTCAACCTGACAAAAAATATTTTCACTTTGCTGTGACTGAACATTCTGAAGGTTTCAGCTTTATACTAAATAGTTTAGATAATATTCTAATAGAAATGCTTACTGTAATATTAACGTTTATAGATTGGTATGTCGTCTAAAAAAAAAGAAGCACTTTTTGAGGGAGATCTACAGCTGGTAGAAAACTATTTGACACAGTCTTGTCTTCTCATGACTGATATTGCTTCTAGTTTAGACATGTTACTTTTTTTATTGAATATTCTGCAATGAATAGAGAAGACAAGTATCTGTGGCCATTGAGCACAGGCTTCGGCATATCATGTCATGTCATGTATCTTGTAGTGTGTTGCTTAAAGGGATAGTTCACCCAGACAAAATTAAATTCTGTGATTTACTCACCCTCATGTCAACTGTTTTTATTATGTGTAATAAAAAGTTAATTTGAGATGTATTTTTCCCATGCAGTGGTTTGCCATTGAAGCTTGTTTCCGACACTGAATAAAAAATAAAGAAATTGCAGACTTTTTATCTCGCAATTCGGACTTTTTTTTCTCAGTATTGTCATATAAACTCAGAGTTGTGAGTTATAAAGTCAGAATTGCGTGATATGAAGTAAACTACAAATGCACTACAAACTGGTCGTGTCAGAATTGCAAGTTTATATCTCACAATTCTGAAGTCTCGAGACTAGCGATATACAGCGACAAAGTCGCTGGCGGTGTAAACGGGGCTTGACTATAACACGCAATTGCGAGTTATAAAGTCAGAATTGCGAGTTATAAAGTCATAATTGTGAGATGTAAAGTATTTTTCCCCCTCAGAATTGGACTTGGGTGAACTATGCCTTTAAGTTTCTTTGGTTTGCACATAGATAGTCTCTCCAGAGAAACTATAAAAATAGAAATCTTAATGAGATAAAAGTCTCTACATTGTTACAAAAGATAACGGAAGTCCGGAGAGGATGTGTGCTTAGTTATCTCCGGCGCATTCCAATTAACAAGAATCTTTCCTATACTTGCAGTGTAAGTGAAATGAGAAGAGACTCTATGCAATCTCACAGCTACCTGCCTGAGGATATCCTCACTCAAAATGATTGGACCAATGCATGCCATATGTAATACTGTGTAACACTGTATAACATATGGACTGCATTTCACATACACTACTTACTGTTCAAAGGTTTGTGGTCAGTAAAATATTAAAACTGATTTTTTTTAAATAAGTCTCTTATGCTCACAAAGGCTGCATTTATTTGATCAAATGCAGTAAAAACAGTCATATTGGGAAATATTATTACAGTTTAAACAACTGTTTTTCTATTTAAATATATTTTAAAATGTAATTTATTGCTTTGATGGCAAAGCTGAATTTACAGCAGGAATTACTCAATTTTAAAAAAAATTTACAAAAGATTTACTGTCACTTTTGATCAATTCAATGCATAATTTATGAATAAAAGTATTAATTTCTACTGACTCTAAACTTTTGAACTGTGGTATATAGAAGTGTCTGCAAGAGTTTTGTGTGAAATATGTGTAGTTCTCGGAGTGTCAGATAGTTTCAGAAAATGCATATTCTTAATGTTTATACACGATGGGGTTTGAGGAGTAAGAAGTAACTCATTCTTAATGTCTGAATCTAGTCAAAATATACTGTAACAAAAATGTACTCTGAGGTTCACCTTTCAAACAACCATCAATTCAAGACACGCACGCGTTTTGTTTTTGTTTTTGTTTTTATGAAGACTTGTTTTATCCATAGACATACTATAGTATTTATACTCTACAAACTTTACATTCTATCCCCTAACCCTTACAAAAAATTTCAGAACAAAAAAAACCATTTAGTATGGTTTGTAAACGGTTTTCCTCATGAGGAATGAAATTTTGTCCCCACAATGTCAATACTTTCAGGTTTTACTATTCTTGTGAGGACTTTTGTTCTCCACAATGTAGGGAATACTTGGGCCACACACACCAAAACTAGTACTGCATTTACAAGCCATATGGATTAATAGATGTTGTTTAATATAATGTAGTAAGACCTAAGACCATGACAACATGATAATGGACAGTTTCTTGAAGACTGAACAGCATCAGATGACTTGAGCTAAATGGCAAGTGCTTGTATTAGCAACAGCTATAGCTGTACTCAGCCATGATCGCATCACATAATCTGTTCACCTCATTTTACAATGGAAACTCCTGTCCATTGAGCTCAGTTTATTATTGATGTGGAGTGAAGATAAAAATAAAAGGATTACACATGGTTCTAAATATTTGTGTCTTTCAATTGTTCAGTATTTAAGGATTTTTTGTGTGTGTATGTTTTAAGGAATGAGGAATAGTACAAAAATCACATGTCTCATCAGTGTGGAGGGAGGCCACTCCATCGACAGCAGTTTACCAGCACTACGCATGTTCTATCAGCTTGGAGTAAGATCCATGGCCCTCACACACACCTGCAACACGCCATGGTAAATACTCACCATAGATGTACAACACATGCTAATAATAATAATGACGTGTACAGTCATAAAAACAACTTTATTAATAGTGAATTGAGAGAGGAACACAAATGTAACACATTCTGCATACTTACAGACATGCTGTCCCAGAATTTTATTTTATTTATTTTTATTATTTTATTTCATATAGTTCAGTTATTCAACTTTCTTCTATAATGTCACTTGTAGGGCTGAGACCTCATCTAGTTTTTACCCATTTTACCAGCGGAAGAGCAACAGCTTGACAGAATTTGGCAAGGTAAGGTTTTCTTATTGATGGATATGAGTCAATGAATCAATATATTAGAAGATGAAGTTTAATTTGAGATAGTTATAGTTGAAAGTTAGATAGAAAATAGAAAGTTACAGTTGTATTTAGTGGGGAATATGACCCTGTATTAAATGCCTCTTTTGACTTCTATATTTGGAAATCCCTTTATTGTGTCCTCTTTTTGAACCCAAAGACTAGAGACGAAAAAATACTAAAAGGTCAAAGACTTTTTTTTTTCTTTTTTCTTTTTTTTTGCTAACAAATGCCTTAAATCTTGGAGAAAATATTCATGGCCATGATTTTTATATCCTGTTTGTACAGTAGGTCATTGTTCTTAAAAAATATTGTGAGCATGTGTGTACTAAAATTGCTGCTTCTTCTTTTTTTTTACCTAGGAGATATGAAAGACTAAATTGTTGTGGACAATTAACCTATTATGTGATATGAATCAAGTACATTAGAAAAACTCCAGCAAAATCTGAATCTACTGTTTTCATAATTATATACTTGTTCTTGAAGTGTAACAACAATTATCAGTACATATTTTGCTGTGGAATTCACTTTGGCACTGATTAAGTGTGATGTACATCATACAAATTTACACTAACTACCCTGACTTGAATTGAATTTAATGGATCAGAACTAACTGCTTTGCATTAGTAATAAATGAATTTAACCATTTCCTAATGTGTATCTTTACCTGCTCACCCCAGGCAGTGGTGAACGAGATGAACAGGTTGGGAATGCTGGTTGATCTGTCCCATAGCTCCTGGGAGACAGCCAGAGCGGTGTTAAACCATTCTACCGCTCCAGTTATTTTCAGCCACTCGTCAGCCTATGCTATCTGTAACAATACTCGCAATGTACCCGACGACCTGCTACTGCGTCTGGTGAGACTGTTGTTTGGTTTGCTACATTAAAGGAGTAGTTCACTTTAAAATTACCCCATGATTTACTCACCCTCAAGCCATCCTAGGTGTATATGACTTTCTTCTTTCAGACAAATACAATCGGATATATAAAATATCCTGGCTCTTCCAAGCTTGACAATGGCAGTGAATTGCAACCAACAGTTTGAAGCTCAAAAAAGTGATTCCATCCATCATAAAAGAACTCCACATGGCTCCGGGGGGTTAATAAAGCCCTTCTGAAGCAAAGCGATGAATTTGTGTAAGAAAAATATGCATATTTAACATGTTATATATAACAAGGCCATATGCAGTCTACTTGCGTCCAAAGCGCAACTTGCGCAACTTGTGACGTCTGAAGTAGCGTAGTGCGTCATGGCGTAGCGTAAATATCAGCAGTACGCCGCATTACTCGCATAAGTTGTGCTTTACACTTAAGTCGAATCTGTATGTTCGTTTGGCCGGAGGCTATTTATTGTACTTTATAAAGTTTTAAATATTAATATTGTTCTTACACAAACTCGCTTTGCTTCAGAAGGCCTTTATTTAACCCACGGAACCGTGTGGAGTTCGTTTATGATGCATGGATTCACTCTTTTGAGCTTCAAGCAATTCACTGCCATTATCAAGCTTGGAAGAGCCAGGATATTTTTTTAAATAACTCCGATTGTATTCGTCTGAAAGAAGAAAGTCATATGGATGGCTTGAGGGTGAGTAAATCATGGGGTAATTTTCATTTTAAAGTGAACTACTCCTTTAAGCCCTATGTGGACAGGACTAGATTTCCTGGAGGACGTTAGATAATTTTGTGTTTGACAGGCATACTTTGTAATTTTAATACCCTCTGAAATGGCAATTTCTATTCCTGTCCGAATGCGAATGTCTGTGATTGCTAATTTTGTACTATCCCAGCGAATCTCCTTGTTTTTTTTTACCTACCTGAGAAACTGTTTGTGCACCAGTCTTCCGTGTGCTTTCATTTCAAAATATTCCAACAAAATATGATAAATCGAGTTTTCCCTGCTCACTTATGTGTGTTTATTATAAACAGCCACTTCTATAAACTTGTGTGAAGTTTATTTATATAGGGTTTTTATAATAAATTAAAATTATATCAATAAATAATTCATTAAAAGACAAATATGTCATACGTGATATATCCAAGCACAGCAGATGAACTTATGTAATGCCCACACCTAGAAAACACATCTAGAAATAAACACAGATGTTAAGTTCTGCCGAATCGGTATGTGAATTCCGACATCGGGTGATAAGAATTGTAACTTAAACGTCATTTAGAAAACTAGTCCTGTCCGAATAGGGCTTTAGACATAGTTAAACAAAAACAAATTGCCAGTTTCCAAATCTCTAAAATGCAGATTTTACTCACTAAAAAAGACAATAGTGTAAATTGTACACTCTTTTCTACTTTTATCTACGTAACATGTATGATATTATGAAAAGGACAAACTTTGCTTTCTTTCTAGAAAGAGAATGGTGGGCTTATCATGGTGAATTTCTACAGAAGTTTTGTAGCATGTTCAAATACCACAAATGTGTCTGTTGTGGCTGGTAAGACAACAGAGACAATTTAAAAAACAAAAAATTTAAATTTAAAAATTTTGTTTTCATTAGAAACTTTTTTTTTTTTTTTAGATCATTTTGATCATATAAAACATGTGATTGGCACTGAAAGCATTGGGATTGGAGCAGACTTTGATGGAGCTCAAGGGCAAGTAAACATTTCATCTATATTTACATTACAGAAATCTCATGCATTAAATGCACACTTCTTTGCTAACGTGCCTCTACGGAGTCCATGCTTGCAGTATTCTGCAGAAACAATCATAGATTTCTGCGGAATTTAAACAAAACTGTTTTACATATGCTACACCCCTTGCGTGCCCATTTATAGATATTTGACTGATTCGATAATGTTTTCATCTACCAATAAGACTGTAGTACTCTCAGCACCATTAAACACATTTTACAATATTTAAATTAATTCCAAAGATTTCCACGCATATCCCTAAGAATCACAAAGAAAAGCATAGATTCCACGTGGCTTGTGCCCCTGTTGCCACGTGGCTTGTGCCCCTGTTGCCACGTGGCTTGTGCCCAAACAAAAATGTTTGTTTGTGTTAAAGTGTGCCTGTGTTTTCACAGATTCCCTCAAGGGCTTGAGGATGTCTCCAAATATCCAGCACTAATTGAGGAGCTGATATCAAGGAACTGGAGTGAGGAAGAGCTGGCAGGAGTGCTAAGACTGAACTTCCTTAGAGTGTTCCAAAAGGTTGAGAAGGTCAGGAAATAATTTCTTGTGTTCAGTTCCTATTTCAATTAGGTCAGTAAAAGTAGCTATCAATCATGGCATCTTTAGGGTTAGTACAAATATATACTGTAGTGCACACATAGTAAACGATTCACGCTTGCAATCAACATTAGTGAACATAACATACACTCTTAAAAATAAAGGTTCCACTTCCAAAAGGTCTTGGTGTGTTAGTGTTTTGTTTTTTGTTTTTTTGTGATTCCATAGATTTTTTTGGTCCCCTTAATGCCCATAGAGGGTGGGATCTCACTCACAGAATGTAGACATAGTGTCAGCCATCTTTTTTTGGAAGCTAAGCTAGCAGGCTCTTGTTCTGTGGAGAAAGCTGAGTAGTAGGGGTTACCATCCTCTTTTTCCTGGACATGTCTGGCCGTCGAGATCGTACAAAATGTCCGGGATTCAGCTTTTGCTTTCTGCAGTCGCCATTCATTGTTTACATGCACACCTTTTGTTTCAATCTAACTGAATTCATTCCGATTGGTGAATCTGAATGTAGTGTTTACATGAACGCTAAACAAGTGATCGGTTGATGTGCGTTTTAACATTGCTAAGAAAATTCCCGCTCCTCCGTGAGAGATACGAGACTGGTGCGTCTCACTAGGTGTCGCTCATCAGTAATCACGCCAGCGGCCTCGCGCCGTTCTCCCGCGGCCCTCAGTCTCGTCCTGCTCGCCACAGTAAACATAATTAATGGCGACTGTAGAACGCAAAAGCCGAATCCCAGACATTTTGGGCGATCTCGAAATCCCGGGCAGACTCATCACAGAGACTCACTAGTAGCCTAAACTTGTTGTTTAACTACTGCGCTCTGTTACCGGTAGTCGTGGCCTCCTAGGGCAGTGAAGCAAGTGCATTCTGGGAGTTGTTGTCTTTCATCCACATAAGCCAAAAATAAATTTTTTGGCTTTTCTCAGTCTAGATAGCTCCAAATTCAAAAATAATTTCACATTTCTTCTACATAAATGACCCATTTTAAATACACATTCATCTTTCCAGAGGTGAAGTATCCCTTTAATGACCATATGTTTGTTGTAGACTGTTCTCTGATGTAACAGGCCTTCCTGACTACTGATTATTTTATCTTTGGTCACAGTCAGCACTTGTGAATCTCCTTTTGGTTTTCTGTGAAAATAGCAAAGCTTTTAACTCTTTAAAGGTATTCTTTTCTTGACTACTTTCTTTTTGGCACCGTGCACCTTCAAAAGACAGTCCTGCCAAATCACTGCCTAAGCTTTTTTTGTACACATTCTTAGATTATCTTATTCCTCTGCCTCTTCCTTTCTTCTACTACAATGGTGATCTTTACACTCCTAGTGTAACTCCTACTGTCTCTCTATTCTGCACACAATGATCCCCATTAATTTATCTAAACACTGTAAACTTAAGACCTACACTAATTACAAAACATTTTTTTTTATTTTTTTTCATCGTCCACCGTCAGCTGACCCCTTCTGTGAAATTACAGTTGTTATTGCAACTCCCTCTTCAAAAAAGCATTACATCTCAAATCTGTCTCTCCTATTACCCTCTATCCCTGGTTATCAGTGAACCGCTCCAAAACCAAACAGACCATATACCATGACGGATATAATATACATATACACTCACCTAAAGGATTATTAGGAACACCATACTAATACTGTGTTTGACCCCCTTTCGCCTTCAGAACTGCCTTAATTCTACGTTGCATTGATTCAACAAGGTTCTTTAGAAATGTTGGCCCATATTGATAGGATAGCATCCTATCAATTTTTGCAGCATCCTATTGCAGTTGATGGAGATTTGTGGGATGCACATCCAGGGCACAAAGCTCCCGTTCCACCACATCCCAAAGATGCTCTATTGGGTTGAGATCTGGTGACTGTGGGGGCCATTTTAGTACAGTTAACTCATTGTCATGTTCAAGAAACCAATTTGAAATGATTCGAGCTTTGTGACATGGTGCATTATCCTGCTGGAAGTAGCCATCAGAGGATGGGTACATGGTGGTCATAAACGGATGGACATGGTCAGAAACAATGCTCAGGTAGGCCGTGGCATTTAAACGATGCCCAATTGGCACTAAGGGGCCTAAAGTGTGCCAAGAAAACATCCCCCACACCATTACACCACCACCACCAGCCTGCACAGTGGTAACAAGGCATGATGGATCCATGTTCTCATTCTGTTTACGCCAAATTCTGACTCTACCATCTGAATGTCTCAACAGAAATCGAGACTCATCAGACCAGGCAACATTTTTCCAGTCTTCAACTGTCCAATTTTGGTGAGCTCTTGCAAATTGTAGCCTCTTTTTCCTATATGTAGTGGAGATGAGTGGTACCCGGTGGGGTCTTCTGCTGTTGTAGCCCATCCGCCTCAAGGTTGTGCGTATTGTGGCTTCACAAATGCTTTGCTGCATACCTCGGTTTTAACGAGTGGTTATTTCAGTCAATGTTGCTCTTCTATCAGCTTGAATCAGTCGGCCCATTCTCCTCTGACCTCTAGCATCAACAAGGCATTTTCGCCCACAGGACTGCCGCATACTGGATGTTTTTCCCTTTTCACACCATTCTTTGTAAACCCTAGAAATGGCTGTGCGTGAAAATCCCAGTAACTGAGCAGATTGTGAAATACTCAGACCGGCCCGTCTGGCACCAACAACCATGCCACGCTCAAAATTGCTTAAATTACCTTTCTATCTCATTCTGAAATTCAGTTTGGAGTTCAGGAGATTGTCTTGACCAGGACCACACCCCTAAATGCATTGAAGCAACTGCCATGTGATTATTTGATTAGATTATTGCATTAATGAGAAATTGAACAGGTGTTCCTAATAATCCTTTAGGTGAGTGTACATATCACACCTTACCATGCTCTTCTAGATAAGGTGTGATAAGCTTCCTCCAAATGTCACTACACTGGTTCTGCACATTCAGTCTGAAGAGATGTAATCTAGCTGCACTTAGTTTGGATCGCAACCAATGCAAACTGTTTTCTCCATTAGCCTTACGTATCACTTCCACAAGCTACAGAAAACCCTGTCTTCTCGTGACTTAAGTTTGCTTTGTTGTAGATTGGCATCTTTTTATATATTTGGAAATTTCAAAACACCTTTTTAAATAAAATTTATCAAAAATGTTTAAATAAATCAACATTCCTTTAATCCACTTTAAGGATGTGTACCGAAATAAAATACACATTCTTACAGTTTCAAGTATATTAAAAATCTCATTCACTGTGGTCATAGCACATTTGAAAATGTTATATATATATCTTTCTCTCTCCATATGTTCAGGTACGTGATGATATGCAATACACTTTACCCAGCGAAGTTGAAATCCCATTTTTGGAAGCAAACAACAGCTGTCGTGTGATACTGACTAATCCAGTCAGAGTCGACAGTAGCTATCGAAATGGAAAAGGTTCATTGATGCCTGGAAGAGCTATCGCCTGGTTTATCATACTTTTGATCCAGTTACTGTAATCTACATTAAGACAAAGAATCTTCCAGAGACAGTATACAAATCAAATGTTCTACGACACACTGCCTTGAGATTGCCTTGCCAACACTTTAAATCTTAAGACAAGAAGTTGAAGTAAATTTTCTGACTGAAACTGACACTTTGGAATTTTGGAAACTTGTGTTGTTTTGGAATGTTTTGTAACAGTTTCTGAAGAAGACCATACTTTAGCTATGCATATTAATAAACCATTATAGTGTACAGATGACATTTCTGTAAATGAATAAAAAATAGAGTTTTGTGTTCCGCTCATGAGATAACAAAATTAAGTAACAAACAATCTGCATTGTTGCATTATCTCGTACTGCCATAGCATATCATCAAGAGGCATCTGTTTCTTTTGTTCTGTTTCTTTTTTTTTGTGGCAGTAGTAGCGTTAAATTATAGGAAATTATTGTTTTTTATTAAACAAGTGTATTATTAGTATAACAATAATTATCGTTATTATTTGTTTCCGAACACATTTCTCAAACACTCCTTTTACCTCTTACCTTGGACCAATAAGTAAACACACACCACTGAGCAAGTTGACATGTTGAACTGCTCAAACTTAGAAACTAATCTTTTGGAAGCACCAGAGAGCCCATAGTGTATGCTTGTATTTATCTGCATATGATAAATAATACTTTATAATATGATACGATAATACTATATTAAATGTAAATTATTAAATAAGGAAAAAAATACTCATCACCTTTACGATGCAATACCACCTGTTTTTAGCTACCTTCTTTTAGTTAAACCATGAGGTTTGCAGTTAAAGGTTGTCTTTTTTTCCCAGGCAAAAATAAGATTATACAATACAAATAGCATATTCTGCAATTCATAGTGCACTTTATTGTAACTTTCATATTTTTATAGTTTAAGTATATTTATCTTAATACTATACATAAGTCAACTGCATGTTTCATTGAAGCGTTTAATCTTTCTCTTCAACATGGAACACTATACAGATGTAACACTATACAACCGGTAAGAGAGCATTGCCTTTATATTTCAGATATAAATGTTGTTAGTCAAGTCTTTCATATTTTCTTCTATTTGTATAACAAATGTATATTGTCTGTACAGTTATCATGCCCTAAAACAAGAATAAAGACTTTGTATCAGTATCCAAAATGTCTCCTCCTCAATGCGAGTTGCGTACTAAAATTCAGTATATTGAAAATAACAAAACTGTTCATTTACAATCTCTTAAAATAATTGATAAAATGCAGTTATAAATTACAAAATCTACAGAGCTATTCATATCCAATATTTATCCCAATCTAGCTCCTTTGGTTATTTTTTAAAGCTAATCCATCCAATACAATGGGTAGTTTCTACAAATAAATAATAAAGACAAAATAAATAAAAAAATAGAAGCGCTCAAATGGAAATTTAAATTCAGCACTTGCTATAATTTAAGTTCAGCAATAGAATGGCAGTCTTAAATGTACTAGGAAGCACTAGATCTGTTACATGGCCAGTGAAAGTCATGATAATTGCGTGTATTTCGTCCTATATATTAAAAAAATGTCATGCATGTAATTTTATATATTAAAAGCACATGTAAAGTTTTAAATTAGTCACTGTTAACGGTTGTGAAATATTTGTATTGGTTCTCGCCCAAACCTAGCCTGGTTAACATCATACCACGTCTCATTGAGATTGAGATGTGGTCTGGGAACCACATGTTCATTTTCTCGTATTTAAGGCGTGGTTTACGAATGCCCAGAGCCGTTTATTGGGTGCTACGAATGTCTATCAAATGTGCCTGTACGTAGCTCATAGCCAATCGTTTCAATTATACCAGATGACGTATGTAGAGCAACAGAAATTAGACGAGGAAGAAGACGATGGGTCAGAGATTTATGTGTACACGATGGCGTATGTATCTAAGGCTGCATCGAAAGGTAACTTCGCGTCTGCTGCCATGTTTGATCCATAGGTATAAACAAACTGCTTCGGTGTGTCGCATAGACGTCGTCATCGTCTTGCTGCTCCCTCCCCGTTCTGTGATTGGTCCCCTCGCTGAGGCGAAATTCTGGTCCATGGTATCCAGACTGCCTAGCAGCGTGAATAAAATCGCGCTGCGCAAAGGCAGCATGGGGAAACCCAGGCTAGCCCAAACCACGATTTTCTCTAATTGATTGTTAGCTTGCTTGAAAGTGCATGTTGCCACACCAGAGATATGTAGTGTGGTGGTGGAAAAAGCTCAAATGTTTTAAAGGAATTGTCTATTAATGTTTTACGTAAGCATTGTTGTTGCGGGAATCATCTTGTTATTTTGTCTAGCAAACATGGCCTACATTCCAATGTGATTCCAAATGTTATGGCATGATTGTGGAAGGAATTCAGTTGAAAAGGTACACATCTGAAACAGTTCTAACATGCTATTGAAATATTTAAAGTGAAATTAATGTATTGAATAGTACCTTTCAGTTTATCATTGATTATATATTTAGGATGGCATAAGATGTTCAGTATTCACATACCACTTTTTTGACTTGCACTATATATAGTTTACAGTAACACACAGTAACAGTGGTCTATGAATTGATCTTTGGCCTTTCACGAATAGATGGTGATGACCTCACGACCTCCACCTCTCACAAGCAACACTCTTTCTAGACCCTCAGTCAACACCTCAAGAAATTCCATATCTGAAACCTACGAGTTAAAGATACAGCCTGAGAAGTATGGATAAATTAATACAATAGATAATAGGGCAGTTTTGCCCAAATGAGGAAATCTGTTATGGCCGATTTATCCATATTCTGCCAAAAACTAAGCACACTATCAATAGAAAGCTTTACAGTTTTATTTTTTAACCATCACTAGGACACATTTCTCAATACGTTGGTCACTTTTTCAAAACTCTTCACACAGTGAGCACAACAGCTGTGTATGTGGGCTAAACTCTGGATCATTTATGATTGCTTTGTCACAAGTTTAACATACACAGGATACGATGTTGCTATCCTCTGTGCTAGGATATACCTGATAACTGCTGTTGGTGGTTGAAGCAGCTCCACGGAGACCAGTTAGTGAGGAAAGGATGACAGAGGAGCTCTCAAGTGGGCACCCTCCTTCTTCAACGTTTCATTGATAAGCCCACAACGCCTTCAGAGGGCTCAATGGCGAGTTCTGGCATCTCAGAATCACCCCCCTCTGTTTCCTTCCTTTCCACTAAATTATTGTGGGGCCCAGCTAGGATCTTGCTTTTTCATCCATAGCCACTGGCTACTTCTTTCCGCTACCTCTGACAAGGCTTTGATGACAAGGCGTAAACTCCGGCCTCAAATCCCCATGTCCCTGAGGAGTCTGGTAGTTGATGCCGCCACAAAGCCTCTACACTCCACTTTCACAGGATACACTTTGGTGCTCCAGCTGCCATGCTGTGCCTTAGCTGCTAGCTCTGCATAGTGCAAATGTTTGTGTTCAAATGACTCCTCCACCCCATCCTCCCAGGGCAAAGTTCGACAATGTAAACCTACCAAATTAGGTCTTAAGGGGGTATCAGCAATCTCTAAAGGAAATGCCAGCTGTTGGCCAATGTCAACCAGCATTTGATGTCTACTCAGTCACTTGCTGAGTAGAGCTGGCTTTGTTCTGATGGTGGGGAGACACTTTTGGTTGCCTTGACCCCCTCTCGGACAAAAGCAATCGCCTGTGCAGGTTTTATGGTGGAAGGGGATTTGCAGCAGTTCATTTAGTTTCCTGGATGGAGGCGAGGCTCTTAAGGACTTGGTTGAGTGATTGATTGATTAATACTTTATTTATCCCGAGGGAAATTTAGGTATCCAGTAACATACAAAAACAAAAACATACATAGAAATATACATACATTAAAACCTATAAAATAGAATTAAAATACAATTACCTTATAACACCGTAGCCACAGTAAGCAGTGCAAAAACAGTAAATAGTGCTAATGGAGTGGAGATGTAGGTAAACCATACAGATACAGATGGAAGTACAAGAAGTACAGCTGGAGGTAGAAAAATTGTCCAATTATCTATTATCCTCACTGTTGTACAGTCTGATGGCCAGTGGGACAAAAGAGTTTTTAAGTCTGTTGGTGGAGCTGGGCTAAGACAGCAGTCTGCCACTGAACACACTCCTCTGCCTGGCGAAGATGTTGTACACAGGGTGGTTGGCATTGTCCAGTATGGACAGCAGTTTGTCCAGGGTCCTTTTTTCTGCCACTATCGCCAGAGAGTCCAGCTCTGAGCCTACTACTGAGCCAGCTCTCCTTACCAGTCTGTCCAGTCGACTGACGTCTCTCTTCTTGCCGTTTCCTCCCCAACAAACTACAGCATAAAAGAGGACGCTGGCCACCACAGACTGGTAGAACATTAGCAGGAGTTTTTTGCAGATGTTGAAAGACCTCAGCCTTCTCAAGAAGTACAGACGGCTCTGCCCTTTCCTGAACAGAGTGTCCATATTTGCTGTCCAGTCCAGCTTGTCATCCATTTGCAGCCCCAGATATTTGTAGGTCCTGACCACCTCCACATCAACCCCATCGATGGACACAGGCTGTAGATGTGGTTTCTTCCTTCTGAAGTCCACCACTATCTCCTTTGTTTTGGAGGGGTTCAGCTGTAGATGGTTGATCCTGCACCACCTCACAAAGTCCTCAACCAGGCTCATGTACTCCCCCTCCTGTCCATCCTTAATACAGCCAACTATCGCAGTATCATCTGAGTATTTCTGTACGTGGCACTCCAGTACTACTGACCACAGTGTCTGATGTCCAGCCCTTCAGTCTGACGTACTGTGGTCTGTCTGTGAGGTAGTCCGTAATCCATGTCACCAGGAGTGGATCCACCCTCATCTCTATCAGCTTGTCACTCAACAGGAGTGACAAGCTGATAGAGATGGTATCAAAGGCGCTGGAGAAATCAAAAAACGATATTCTCACAGCTCCCTTCTCCTTGTCTAGATGTGAGTAGGCCCTGTTAAGCAGATAGAGGATGGTGTCCTCCACCCCCTTGGACTTGGTTGTGCTGCCAGGTATATCGTCCCTGAGTGAGAATCGCCTTACAGGCTCTAAGTATATGTTTGAGGGAAGCTGGCAAGGAACAAAGGGCAAACTATGGATCATGATTGATCATGATGATGATTGTAAAACTCAACCAACTTGCTTCCATCACCCACAGATCCTTCCAGGTAAAATTCCTCTTCTCGACACTTTCCCACTTCCTCCACTGCCCCTGCTTGCCAAGAGAGACTGACTTGGCCCACCGTACAGCCTCTTCCTGATGGCATACTTCCTTCACCACAATTTTCCTTCACCCCAAGGCTGTGGACTTAATCCAGCTGGTTAAGCTGTTACAAACCCAAAGCTTCCCCTTCCTTATCGGACATGTCCCACAATGTCTGCATGTTTTAAGGATGCCATTGCCCCTTCTATTGCTTTCGCTGGACCCCACTTGTGCCCAGATCTCAAGGTTGGTGCGTTGCTGCTTACCACCCCATCTCTGGATTCCTTCAACATCATTTGTAATCTTACTTTCACACACTTGAATTCCTCTTTTAGACTGGTAAAGAGCAGTTTGAGTACCCCATTCAGACCAATGCTGGCGAGACACTGTTGGACTCCAATCCACTTCTTAATATGACGTGTAACCTATCTTTCCATCTTCTCCACCGCTGAGCTTGGAACCTCATAGATTGAAAGGGGCCATAGCACTCGGGGTAGCAGCCCAAACTTGTACACACCAGCTCTTTCGTTTTCTAGCCAATTGAGTGTTATCAATTGCTTGTAAACCACTGCTGATCTCCTTCTGCAGTTGTTATACCTTGACTTTGTCCTCCAGGCTTGCGTCATACTACCTTCCAAGACTTTTGACAGGTTGCTCAGAAACTGTTGGGTCACTCCTGATGAAGAACCTAAGCTCCGTAGGCACCCCCTTGACAATAGAGATGCTACGTGATTTGTATGGTTTTATCCTCATACAAGCCCACTTGATGGTCTCTTGCAATTTTCCAAGTAATCTAGTACATGGAACAGTGGTAGTCAAGAGTTGAGATAACATCCATGAAAGCTCTGAGAAGAGGAAGGCGTTGCATCATCTACTCTCTGGCCTCCCACAACCCATTTTGAGGCTCGAATTTTGAATTCCATGGCCATGGTGAATGCCAGAGGTGAGATCATACATCCTGCCATTATACATACTTCCAGGTGCTGCCAAGTGGTAGTAAAATCTTTAGTGGTAAAACAGAACTGCACATCTTGGAAAGTATGCTTTTACCAGGCCTGTGATGGTATCTGGAATGTGGAAGAAGCTGAAGGCAGCCCAGAGAAGATTGTGAGGTGCTGAACCAAAGGCATTGGTGAGATCCAAAAAGACTACATGGAGATCCCTCTTCCCTGCTTTCGCCATTTGGATCTCATGACAAATCATGCTTGTATGTTCTGTATGTATCTTTGCCTTCTGTACAGATGTATCAATGTACCAATTCATCTGCATCTACTCAGACACCCTCCTTGCAATAACGCCAAAGAAGCTTTTACCTTCCACATTCAGCAGAGAGATTGGTATGAACTGACTGATGTTTAGAGCATCATTCCCCTTTGGTATTAAGACCACACCTGCCCTGCCTGTGCCATGCTTTGGGTGCTATTCTCTTCTGCCGTGCTGTTCTCATGAGTCTTCATAAAAGCCTTCAATTCAATTCAAATCACTTTATTCATCCCCAGGGGGCAATTGAATGACACAAAGAGCAGCATATATTCCACCACATACAGGACATCATCATTAAAATAAATAAATTGATACATGGTAATATATAAAAAGAAAAGGGGATGGGATGAATGCATCAGTGATCAGTCTATGGCGTGTTGTAGTGCTGTCCAAAGATTTGGAGGGTGGGCGGGGGCTGGGAGTTTAGGAGCTGAAAAGCCCTGGGGACAAAGGTCGCCTTCCTCCTCTGGGTCTTACAAGCTTGACAGCGGAGTCTGCGCCTTGAGGGGAGCCACTGAAACATCGAAAACATGACATGTGATGGATCACAAGGATCCTACTGGCAGTCTTCAAGGTCTGCTGTTCGCATAGGGTGGACAGAGCTCTCAAGAGTAGTCCAATAATTCTGGAACAGACTTTAACAATTTGATGTAAGCAGTTCCTGTTTTGAAGACTAATGGAGTAAAACCAACAAGTGAAGAAAAATGTTATCACACTTTCAATAAATGAGTAGTAAAATGTGGTTAGGATATCCTTGCTTACATCAAATGATCTTAGTTTCCTGAGTAGGTACTGCCCCTGATGGCATTTCTTCAGGATTTCCTCTATGTTGGACTAAAACTTCAGCTGGTTGTCAAAAATAGTCCCGAGGTATTTATACTCCTCTACAACCTCTACTAGCTTTCCCTGGATGGTAGTAGTGACTGCCTCAGTCAACTGCCTCTGCTTGGGTGAGAAGGTCACTATCATCTCCTTAGTTGTATCCACATTCAGCTCTAAACGGGACATTTCACACCACTTCACAAACTCCTGCAGAGCTGAGCTGTGATCATGGAAGGAGCCTGAAAGCAGAGACAGGATGACTGTGTCATCTGCTAATTTCACCATGTGACAGTTTGGCTGAGTAGACCTGCAATCGTCTTTGTGTGGAGGAGGGAAGAAAGGACACACCCTTGTGACGAACCTGTTGACCT